CAGCGACACGACCATGCCAGACACGAGTGTTATCATCCATAGTGGTGCCCTAGGCTTCTTCAGGGCAGCACGCCCGGTGCCCGGGGCAGCGAGCATCCACCTAGTGTCAGATTGGAGTCATCTGTTGAAAATAGTCGGACTGAACTGTGAGGTTGTTTGTGTAAACCTGGCTGGGAAGAAGGCCAGATCAGAGTGGATTTATTCCCTGACAATGAGACACTGCGTGCAACTGGCAAATTTGTATGTACATATTCTTCCCTGCTTGGCCAGCTCCAAGTCAATAAAGCAAACCTGGTATCTGAAAAGAAAATGTATATACAGTCAGGTAAGGAGGAGGAGGCTGAACTTACAGAGCTTGGCTCTGTCTGAGTTTATCCCACCAGGCTGAGCAAGCTGGTCTCGCATCTCGGGTTTCAGACATCCCTGCAAAGCCCATCATAGTGCCAGCTGGATATGCAGGCTTTGTTCATCCTGGAAGGGGCCCTGTGCATCCTCACAGCCCCCAGCCAGGCTGCAGCCTCCTGTGTGGGACCCGCCAGCAGCCCAAACCCACGGTGTGGCAGAAGGTCATATGGGCTGGAGTTGGAAACGGGGCAACACCTTCCAGAGTGGCAGAGCCCACCCCAACTCAGGGGGCTGGCTCTCCTGGAGGACTGGAAGCCAAGAGGCAGAGGGAGGAGTGGGAAGGGGCCCTAATACTGGGAACTGGACGAGCCCCCTTGACATACATTATTATATGTCTCGTACATCTGAGTCCTGCAGTAGTGAGTCACAGCTTCACTCTGACACTGTTCTGTGTGTGACCAAGGACGAGGACACCCCCACATGCACACATTGGAGTCCCATCACCTGTTTCTGGACCAACCTAGGAGTGTTGGTGGCAGGGCTGGACTTGTGATTCATCTGCTCCCCTCCCTATCCACCAGCTGAAGTCCTGCCCCCCAGTACCACTGGGGGTGACTGTGTTTGGAGCTAGGGTTTTCAGACAGGAAACTGGAGTTAAAAGAGGTCTCTAGGGTAGGCCATCACCTCTCTGACTGGTGTCCTTATAGGAAGAGGGGACGAAGACACACACAGCGATGAGGGATGCTGGTGCCTGAGGACAAAGTGAGAAGACAGCTGCCTGCAAGCTGGGGAGGGAGACCTCAGGAGGATCTGACCCTCAGACACTTTGGTCTGGGATGTCCAGCCTCCGGAGTATGAGTAGTAAAGGTCTGATGTCTCAGCTGCCCAGTCTGTAGCATGTTGTTGTAGCACCAGGACCCAGGAATGCAGGTACTTAGAACATGGCTCAGAGCCTAATCCAGAACCTTTCTCTTGGCATACCCCAGCAGTCAGTGTTCTGCTGTGGTTATAACCATCCACCAGGGATGAGGTCACACAGTCCATTCTCAGAATCATGAACTGACCCTCTGCAGTGATGGGTGCATTCCTTTCATTCATCATTTCTGAGTACCTAGCAACTGCCCGACAGTGTCCCAGACCGCAGGATGCCCACTGCTGAGTAGACGCTGGCAAATCGCAGACAGAAGGGATGAGCTCGGCTGGATAGTCCGTGCAGATGCTCTGGCCTAATTTCTGATGTCGACCTGCTGGGGCCCTGGCTTTCTAGCCCTGGAGGATCCCACACAAACAGAAGAAGCCCTTCTTTCTGAGTGTGACTCCTGGAATACTTGGTCTCCACAAAGACTTTTCTCTCATCTGAAAACAAAACTGCCCTACAGCTGCCGGGAATCTTAGCAGCGCCGCTTCTCTAAACAGGGTGGTCTGTTTGGCTCCTGTGCCCCTGAGTCCACTCCCGCGCCCACTCCCTGGGTTTTTCTTTTTTCACTTTGGCTCTTTTACTCTTGTGTGTTTGCCCGGAAGACCATCAGGTACAGAGGGCATGTGCAAATGTAGTTGAGAAAAGAGCCTCTACTGAATGACAGCCCTGTAGACACACTGCACCCCAACACAGCGCACCTCACTTGGAAGATTAGTGATGCTCGTGTTGGCTTGAGAAACATTCTGAGAAGTCCTATAGTAAACAGAGCCGGTTTACACTTAGTTTATACCAAATACATTCGACCAAAAGGTTGTTATTAAGACAGAAGCCTCTCCTTCTGCCTTCACAGGCTGGTGATGGCAGTGTCCACCTGGAACGCGGTGTTTGCAGCAAATGAGTGTGATGCTGGAACCAGGAGGTGAGAATCAGGATGCTCTTCCTTCCCAGAGTCCAGCAGCCACCCTGGGTACCAGGCACATCTGCGGCAGAGTCCTGCCTCTCAGCCTCCTGGGGATCTGCATCCAATAACCACATTTCTTTCTTGATCGACAGTAAACCATATGAGGTCGGCAAGCTCAGCTTACCCTCCAGCCCCAAGTTGAGTGTAAAAATAAAAGATAATTGTTTAAGAAAGAACAGAAAAGTGGGGGGATAGGGGCACCCTGTTGGTGCTGCTCCCTGAGAGGCTGCAATAGCATCAGTTCTCACAATGCTGCTTGTTCCGAATAGGGTCCCTGGGAATTCCATCAACGAGATTTCCATACAGCAGAATATGCTGGAGAAGAAGTTTCATCAGCGGAGGGGGCAGGCTGTTTCTGAATGTTTTTCAACAGAGCGCTGGTTTTCTGTCCCGGGAGACCTTGGCAATTTAAAGAGGCAATTGCTTCTTGGGCTCACCCTGCAAAATTGGAACTAATAGAGCCGCCGTCTCCATCAAAGTTGCTCTTGGGAACTGGATACAATCCAAGAAAGACTTATTCTGGACAACATCAATATTTGTCCCATTAAAAAGTGTGGTATAAAAATCAGTTACATTGTTGACAAGCTGTTCGGGTCCTCCCGGGCTAAGCCCGTTATGAAAGCTGGTCCCTCGCTCTGGCAAAGTGAACTGCAGGGAGGTTTTTGAAAGCCCGTGCCTTGGCCTGTGGTCCTCTTCCAGGGTTCCAGGTAGAAGTCCCGAAATGACAACCTCTCGGACTGACCTCATTTCAGCATTTTCTCTCCCCGCAGCATCGTTAAGTCTTCCCAGCACACTCGCCAATGCAAATCATCCACTTATGTTCTCACACAAAATCCAATTGCCAATTTGTCTTTTTATTCTTACACTTAAAGTGATTTGCCTTCAAATAATCTACGATGAATTGTTCATTTTACTACCGCAGGAAGCGATTGGTTCGTCCAGGGAGCCACTAAGATTGCAATCATCACCAAAGAACTTGTACTTTTCCCGCATAACTATGCAGCAGCTAAGAGATGCCTGTGGGGGCTGCAGGACTGGTTACTACCATGGTTCCCCGTTTGCTGTCCCGCATCCACCACAAGGGCCAGACCCAGCCAGATTCACCCTGGCCTCCAGGTGGGGCTGAAGACAAGAATCTGAGCTGGCTTTGAAGGTGCTGTGGGGACACCGGATGATCTCCAGGAAGTCATTAATTAGCTCTAATCGCTTTGCGGGCACTGGCGTTTGGCCATAATGGAGATGGATTTGGGCTTCATAATCCCTGGTGGGACTAGGCATGAATGAGACCCAGAGAGAAGGTGGTGGTTTAGGAAACACAAGCCATCAAATGCAGGTTGGAATACTCCTCCCACATTAGGCTCCGGTCCACCCATCACCTGCCCTTTTCCACCCCTGCTTCTCCAGGAAATTCTCACCAACCTTTGCGTGGATCCAGGGTGGGACCTTGGGCAGACCCTCACTCCCAGGGGTCACCCTGCCAGACCTCGGGAACCAATGCTTCTCCCTTTGCAAGAGATTCCTACCTTGCTTCTTCATGCCCCCACAAGCAGAGAATCTCAAAGCTTCAGAAATCAAGAGAAATCCTGGGTTCAGCCAGAGGTGGGGCTGGTGAGGCAGTGGTAGGAAAGTACCCTCCTTCTCAGGGGAACATCTCTGTGGGCTCAGCCATCACTTATCTTCCCAGAAAACGTGTGACCCTTCCAACAACCATAGCTTTCCCTCCTGGGGGCATGTCAGGCACAGGATGAAGGTCAGAATAGTGTGAAAACTTCTGGTCAAGGCGTGGGGTTGCTCTTTCCCCGAATGACAGAGGTCCTTCAGCTGAGAAGATATTGTATAAAAAAGCAAGCGGTAGAATTTAATTGCCAATTAGAGATGGTGGTTTCCAGCTGGCCATGGCTCATCTTTCAAAAAGAGAAAATTGATCTTAACTCTGGAAGCTGGCGACTTGTGGGGGGACAGGACCTGCTGGAAACCTGAAGCCGGAGCTGGCTCGGACCTCACGTGGACTCAGGAAAGCTCAGAAAGCCCAGTGCATTATTTATTGTCATAAAACGCAAGTCTGAAGTTTTATCATAAAACGTATGTCTGCATAAAAGAACATGACATGGCAAATCAATAAACAAGAGAATTGTTTGCCTGGAATGGCCTTTTTTTTTAAATTGTTTTTGTTTTTTTATCAGCATCAAGATCACAAAAGAAACAATGACCCCCTAGAAGGCAGGTTGGGGAAGGCGGCCAAATGTGTTAAAAAGGGAGAGAAAGTGGGTGTGTCTCACCAAAATTAAAAAATATAAAATAAGTGTTCCACTCTCCCTGTGGGGAGAGAGCAAGGGCAGGGGAACCCACTTCCTTTCTGCCTTGGAGGGCGCTGCCTGTGGGTTTACGCAGAGGACGAACAGCAGACAAGTACCCGAGTACCCCCGCACCCGCGGGAGATTTGCAAACCAGAAAACAAAAACAGAACAAAGCACCCACGCTCTCTCTTAAAGCAACCACCCTGGGCCGGTCCTTGGCTTGGTTCCTGGAATTTTCACGTACTCTTTGCTTCATTGACACTTCACAGAAATTCCAGGAGACAATGGCCTGCCATCCGTTTGACAAATAGGAGCTGGGACCACATGACTGCAGGAAACCACCCCACCCCACCTCTGGTCTGTGGAGACAACTGTGAGGGCCAATTCTGCTTCCTCCCTAGGACATCATGGGACACAGCAGTTTTGATGGAGAAACCTGAACCCAACCGGGCAGTGGCCTTGAGCACGGACTTCAGAATCAGCCGCCTTGCTTCAGGACCCGGTCTCCTCTGATGGCCAGTTGAGTTTCTGCCTCCACCCTGGCCTTGCTTCCTGATTAGAGAAAGGGGAGACACTGGGTCGGCAAGGGCATGAGATATAGAGCCTCATGGTACAGGCACTTAGTAACTGCTAAGTAAACCATGGGTCAAGTGTGTTCCCAGCATCCTTGAGCCTGGGCTGGTCCACTGCTCAGACCAGGTCTTCACTAACCCCACAGGGGCTCCCGTGATGCTTTTCACAGATACCTTTGTTTTCCACTATTCATTGTCTATCTCCCCCATTTGACCACAACTTTTGTGAATGGAGGAAACTGATAGATCAATAACAGATTTGTTCAATAGCATTTGCTGAATGAATGAGTGAATAAATGCATGAAGATGGGCCTTCTGTCTGACCACATGCTGCCAACACAGCTGGAAGGGAGACACCTAAGCCTGTACATGTGGGGTTACATGACAAAAGGGAATTGTAAGGTCTGAACAAGTGCAAGCGGGCAGGGGCTGGAGGGAGCTGGCCTGGGGGCTCAGGACCTGGAGCTGGACTTTGAGAAGCAGCAGGAAGGGCAAGGAGGAAGGGTAGCCTCTGCTGTAGGGGGTGGCAACTTCACCAGGGCTGTTCTGCAGAGATGAGTGACAGGATGGCTCTAGCATCTTTAACTGAATATAAACAGGCTTCCCAGGTGGCTCAGTGGAAGAGAATCTGCCTGCCATTGCAGGAGACACAGGATACGTGGGTTCGATCCCTGAATCAGGAAGATCCCCTGGAGGAAGAAATGGCAACTCACTCCAGTATTCTTGCCTGGGAAATCCCATGGACAGAGGAGCCTGGAGTTGCAAAGAATCGGCTATGGCTAAGCAAGTGAGCATGCACAAATATTGCCTTCAGATCAGCCGGGGTAGATCACGTGCCTCCCCATCGCTCCAGTCTTGACCAACAAGGACCTCAGTGCCTCCAAGTAAATCCAGAAACAATGCAAAGGAGCACAGGACCCCCATGCCAGGCATTTTGACAGTCTAGCAACGTCTTCAGCCCAAAGAGGCACCAGCCGGAAGCCTCAGTGGCTCGTCACTAATGATCATTGAATATGTTTGATATCCGCTGTGTGTATACACACTCCCAGAGTAAATTGCATGTGGGTGTTTACATTGAAAGAGACTTTCTATGTTATAATTGATAGAACTTTAATTTCCATGTGGTTTCAACAGTAGACATACAAATGGCTCTTTTCAGTATTACTGAGCCTTAGTTATTTTTAGGGAAGCAAAATGTTTTCCTTTGACCACCCTGGTCTGAAGTGGAGGGAGAAGCAAATCAGATGGAACCAGGACTGGAGAAGCAGTGATACAGGGGCAGCTGATTGCAACTCCTGGATCCCGCCTGCTCCCACGGCCAATTCTGAAAGGGGGAGACCATGCTGGTCCTGCCGTGTGTCTTGGTGTAAGTGTGAGCGCCTATGAACTCAGTTGCTAAGTCATGTCTGACCCCCTGGACTGTAGCCCTCCAGGTTCTTCTGTCCATGGGATTTCATAGGCAAGAATACTGGAGTGGGTTGCCATTTCTTTCTCCAGGTGATCTTCTCAACCCAAAGACTGAATGTGTTTCTCTTGAATTGGCAAGTGGATTCTTTACCACTGAGCCACCAGGGAAGCTGGTAAGTGTGAGTGCTCTGTGCTAAATGCGGGATCACTTCCTGGGAGATGCTGAGGTTTGTGTCTATAGCGGAAATCAGGAGGAAGAGGACAGAGGAGGAGGTAAAGTTCTTCCAAGCCCCTTGAACTTGCCCAGCAGTGGGGCGTAGGGTGGCGTGAGACACAGCTCTGTGTGTGAGCCTGAACCCCGCATCCCTGAACTCTGGGCCACGTGATCACTCTGCTTACACCTGGTTCTGGAAAGCAGGGGATTGGACCTCTCACAGGACTGTGGGAAGGAGATGATGTGTGGAGACCATCCAGACCAGTACTTCCCCAGGGGGCAGATGGAGGCCTGGGATCCCCACCAAAGGGCATGAAGACTGGGGTGGCAGCAGATGGTACCATTCACCCAAGGGCCAGTCATGACCTTAAGATTACCATTCATCCAAGGCCCAGTCATGACCTTAAGATTGTCCAAAAGCCCCAACTAGCTCAGGACAGGGAAGCCAGGATCTTGGACTCTAGAAATGGGGCCTGAGTCTCAGAACCGTCTGCTTCTCTCCACTGTTGGCCCCATTTCCCACCTGCCAGGAGAACGACCCCATGACCCATGTCCTCATCCTTGAATGACTACGAGAGGCACTAAAAGATCTGGCAGGGCAGTTCTAAATCACAAAGGGCCACAGAGGCCTCCGAATGAAGCTACCCAAGGCCAGACCCAAATTCTCTGCACGTGTCCGCTCCCAGAACAAGAAAGTGACCAAAGGGATCCTGAGAGATTCTGGGAGACATGAATCCCTAAAGATCTTACAGAGAGAGCTGACATGGCAGCCCTCTCTTGTCAGCTTGAAAAAGAGAGAAGAAAAAGAAAAGATGAAGGCAATGGCTGTCACTTACCTGCAGGCAGGTAGAAGGAGGTGATCAACTTTATCCCTCTCACTCCCTGCAAAGAGCTCAGGATTCATGAGGAGTGTGTGAAAAATACAGATAAGCTGTGCTGATCAGTGAGGCTACTTTAAACATCAATTATTTTAGAAACAAAAGTAATCAGGCTTGGGGTCATACATGCTATGTCACTTCAAAAGAATCAGGCTCGGGGTTAGACAGGCCTAAATCCAGCCTCCTGATGACTCTAAGATCTTAGAGCTCTTTCATTTCCTAAGTCTCCACATTTTCAGCTGTGCAAGGGGATTAACGACACTGACTGAACCTGGTGGCTGCACAAAAGCTGATCCTTTCCCTTCATGGAATGGTCAACCCGTCTCCTCTACCCAAAAAGCCAAGGGTTGTGGATGGTGGTGTCAGTTAAGGCAGGTGCATGCAGACGGGGTAGGGAATGGCAACCACTCCAGTATTCTTGCCTGGAGAGTCCCATGAACAGAAGGATCTGGTGGGTTACAGTCCATGGAGTAGAAAGAGTTGGATAAGACTGAGGAACTGAGAGAACACACATACAGATGGGGCTGTGTGTCCTGTTTTGTTGTTTTCCAAAGCCCTTGCACAGGAGGACAGAGGGGTCCAAAAGACATGTCCAAGGGGACAGCTGGGCCTCCATCTCACTGCAACATGGAGCATTTCCCAGACTGATGGGAGAAGGTGAGCTAGGGAAGCATGGGGGAGTTTGGTGGGACTGCGGTGCAATGAGAAACTTTTGCAGTAGCCACATCAAAACAGGTGAAAAGAAACAGGTAGTGCATTTCATCTAACCCAGTAGATCCCAATGCTATTACTTCAAGATGTAATCAACATGAAACATCTTCATGAGACATTTTGCAGGCTTTTTTTTTTTTTGCACTAAGTCTTCAAAATATGGTCTGTGCTTTGCCCTCACAAGCACCTCTCATTCCAGATGAGTCACATCTCAAGGGCCCCATAGTCACCCATGGCCATTGGCCACCAGAAAGGACAGCTCAGGGGTGCCCAGGCCCTGGATCTGTTGCCTGCAAGTCAGGAAGGACCTGGACTGAGCTTGGGGGTGGGCCAGCCAAGGCCAAAAGAGCTGGGTCTCCTTGGAGTCAATTCCTGCCATGATGACCTCATGGATGTCCTTGGGGTCCCACCTCTGCCGGACTCTGAGGTTGATTTCGGTTTGAGATGATGTTGTGTGTCGGATGCCCTTGTTCCACATGGCAGAAGTCACATAAAGTGGTTTAAAATTTCTGTAGCACAGTTAGCATTTTTAACATATCTGCAGTGAACTTTAATGGGATTCCCATAAAAATTGAACAGACCTCCTAACTAGCTGAATAGTCAGTGAATGACCTTGGTGTTTTTAATTAAATCCAAAGTGAAATTTAAGAACGCGAGAGTTTTATGTGGCCGTCTACATGAGATGGGACCAGGGAATTAATGGACCTCTCTACCTGCCCAGCTGACACTGGGTTGATCTGGACTAGCTCATTTCCAGATGTGGGTCAAGTGATTACTCAGTGTGTGATGGCTCATAGCTCAAAAGTTTTCCAGAATGGCAGGAAGGGTTCTCCTGGATAACTAACTCCCACTTGACCTTCTGCCTTCACCTGTGAGATCTTTTCTTGTTTGTGCTGGTGAAGGTGACACACATATTACTATAATAATTTGTTAAATCCAGTGCTTCCCGTGGAATGGTGAGCCCAAGTGAGCTAGAGATGTATGTGTTCCTGGGGTGAGGAAGAGGATGAATGCTAAGCATAAGGACCAGTGGGAGCAGGTTGTCAATCAAATTTGTGAGTGGTCTATTTAAGGCAGAACCCAACCTGGTTTATAAAAAGACACAACCTGATTCCTTCTTGTAGTAAATCTATCTCATCATCCCCCTCCGTCCCAGGAAATATCCAGAACTCTCCCACATTCATTCATCGGAGGTTAATCAGAACAACTGTGTACAAACCAAGTGTGGCTCGCACCCCAGCCCCTCAGAAGCCTCCCTCTGCCCCCAGGCAGGGATGTGCTCTTAGTTCTTTGAAGCTACAAGTCATTGTTTCCCATTTTTTTCCAACCACCTATCACAAATATAATGCATTATGATTCTAAGTGTACTTGTATTATCTCCCTGATGGATGAGAAGATTTTAAAACACAAGATCTTGTTCATTCTCTTCCTGTCTCCCAGAAGTGCCCAGCACAGGATTCACCCATATACTTGACTGCCCATCACTCCTGGTGTTCCCCCGCTCCCCGCCACCCACCACCAGCCCTCTATCTCTAGGGTCTAGTTCTGTCAGACTATGTCGTCTTTCTCTCTCACATTCCTTTTTCCTTTTTTCCTGCTTTTCAAAAAGCACCATGGAAGGCCTCAATTAAGTGCTGGGCTGGGGCAAAATGTTCTTGTTAAGTAAATGAATGAATGATTAAAGTTAACTGAAGAGTCATCACCAAACATTTTTCTGGTTGCCATGAAAATCCTCATTGTTGAACATATTTCTAAATATAGAAGTGCCCA